GTGATCCTTTTAATTTCCCAGTTCTTTGTGTTCATTAATGGTCTTGACAATAAGTGTGAATTGCTGTGCGAGCCCACCGCACACGACCGCGGTAAACCGGGGTCATGGAATCTATGCATAAATTTGCATAAAATGCGGTCGACCAGCGAGCACCTACCACCACCGCGGTAATGACCGCGGTTAACCGCCCGTTTGATTTCCTACTCTTCCCTAAGCAAAAAACGACTTACAGACACAAACTACAAAACTAATAAAATTACAATTCAATAAGATACGGATGTATGGACGGATGAAACAAACCCAAATTAATAGTCCCCGTTTTCGGACTTCCGAGAGGGGACTAAAAACCAACATGGCTGCCAGTTGAACATTTTGAATCGAATCATGTGTAACTCATACAATAATATTAGTCTATTTTATAATTACATGAATTACAGACGAGTAAAATTTCACAAGCTTAACCCTTGAAGCTGGGTCACAAAAAACATTGTATTCTTGAAACTAAAACCATAAATTTGATTAGCCACCAGGGAAAAATGGAAACTTTCCAAAAAATAAGATTTACCTACCATTATATTTCCACATATCGTTGTTATTTGTAAAGCCAATGGCAGTACATTTAGTTCACAAAGAATTCTCAGAATTAATGACGCATCCATACATGTGTTTTCTACCAATGAGTGTAACTGACGAGATGTCCTGTCAATAATATAAAAAGAACATCAATGCATCATGCCTATTCCACATAGATTACTACTATTATGTCACAACCATGTGCCATCTTGATATAATCAAACTGTCAGGTTGCACCACTGTCAATATACTAAATTATATTATAGCATTATCAATACCAGTGGATTTTATGACGTCATTACAGCAGATTATTTGCGATAATGTATCCCATTATTGAGCATCAAGGCCCTGTGCCATGGATATGATTACAATGTTTTTGAAAACAAATAAAAGAGAAACTATTAAAAAAGAAGAGAAATTGTTAGATAACAAGTATTTAATACTAAAATCGGCATCAAATAAAATAGTTCATTACCAATAACAGCGGATTTCAATATCGAAATCTGACAAATTTGTGAGGGCGTTGCCGTCTGCTCTGTATGCTAAAGCGCGTTCGGTCGAAGCGTTCCATCTAGTACGCGCACTTCTAGATTCCGCGACTGATGCCGCTGGCCTCCTGATTAGTTCGCCCTATTGTGTTGATGAAGTGAGGTTAACCGGGGACGATTTATCCAAGCAAATGCGATAAACGAAGTGGGGGTACAATGTATGTCTACGAGTACAGAGAGATGAATTTGTTCTGTTTTTGTAGTGAGTAGTACCACACAATCTGCGAAGCGAGAAAGACGATGACCAATGTGACTTATATTTCCTCAGCATCGGCTCCCGGTAAATGTCACAGTCCAGGCACAGTTTGCATAAGCAAAAAAGAGTATCCGTGTTTTCGGGTGTGTATTTTTTTATTTATACAGTCAGATTAAAATCACTGTTGGTTCTCCTTCTAGGATGGCTTACACCGGCACAGTCATGCTCGTTCGCTCGCTACGCATGTAAGTTTCGTTTGGCTTCAAAGTATTCTTAATCACCGCCCTCCCATGGAATTTAAAATCAAAGAAAGCTTAGAAAGAACTCCCATGTGCTGAGAGTATTGGAGACACATTAAATATAATTCGAAATTACTTAGCTGAAAACTAATTATGCAAATCAGAAAATTAATATGACCAGATTTGAGTGTAAAACTAATGAGGTCTGCGCAATGTAACAGAAAATCTATGTCTCCAAGTTTAATTGAAATGTGATTAGAACCAAAAAATTATGAATTATTATGCTTATTAGGGAATTAATATGAACAGATTTTTACCCCAAACTAATTAGGTTTGTACATTGTCCTAGAGCATCTTTGTACTAAGTTTCATTGAAATGGAATAATTAGTACCGTGAAAACTCCAAAATTTCGACCCCTCTAAAAATTCGATTGGCTATTTA